TAACAGCATTATAACGGTATCATTCCGCTCCTGCTGAGCGACACAAAGACAAGAAATGCCAAATCCTAGAACACAGCAATCGGTGTGTGTGCCTGTGTGTGTGCTGTTCTTGAAAGCAATGCTAATGGGGCCTAAGACGCATTAAAAGTGACCCCAAACTGTAACAAAAGAGTTAATAATCCGTTTAGAAAACAATCAGATCTGTAGCCATGAGAAAAGACCCCCGCTAAGGCTTTCTGTACTGGAGGAGGAGGTGGGAACTTGCCGTTTTTTTTTTTTTAGTCAGCAATCTTGTAGAACATGGCTTGTTTTCATGGCTTTCACTATAGGGAATGATGGAACAGTTTTTAATGGGCCAGTTCCGAACTCTGCCGAGCCAATGACAAGCCAAGGTGTTTGCTGCAGATTCAAACGTGACCCTTATTGGTGGATTAGTGAGCTCCGTCCACTGTAAACTAGCCCCGGTGGACTCTTGAAAAAAAAAAAGTGATGAACAAACAGACGCTGGCACGGCTGTTAATTGCTAATGATGGTTCTTAGTGTAGTATTTCCCCTCCAGGTTAAATCTTCTCCAAAGGTTTGATCCCAAGGCCAAAGGGGACAAGTGCTGTCATCTGGTGCTAAAGGGCAAGCAGGCTGGATCTCCCATTACCTCTTTTAATCACTGCTATCACAATGGCATAATTAAAGCAGAGAAGTCCATTTGTGATTGTGACATGTCTGAGGTCATCAACAAGCTCGCACGTTGAAGGGCAAAATGTGCTTTTTACTTTATGAATATATTTTTATGAAGCAGCACTTTTTGACGATATCTGTGGGTTTTAAGAATGGGTTTATGCTTCGACCTTCGGATTATTTATTTAACACTGCTAAGCTTATTACGTTGTTAGACAATATGGAGTACATCAAGCAAAAATGTTCTTGCTTTTTTATTGCTTTATGAATTTTCTAAAAATATAATGGTATAATTATAGTTTTTTAAAGGGACCATATGTATTATTTGTTTGTTTGTTTATTCAAGTCACCTCTTGTCCATCATAGGTTCCAAGAAAAAATAAATTAAATATTGCTAACATGCATAAGAGGAAAACAAAAAAAAGTTGCCTAAAAGGGAGTAGGAAGAAGAAAACGTATTCTCATGTTAAAATACATAATCATACTTTACCTTTTATGAACAAAAGTTTAAAGCTGAGTTATAAAATCAAGAATACCTCATATTCTAAATTCTTATATATTTATGTTTAATGAGTCTCTCATTTGTGTTGGAAGCTTGCCAGGCGAAATTTAGCTAGTCTTGGCTCTACCTTTTTTCAATATATAGATATAAACTAATATAAATAAAACATAGCTCCATACATGTGTCTAAAAGCAGATACAAACATATATGGTCATAGATATTAAACTGTTGGTACTGATTGAAATGCCGGTGGATTGCATCAGAAATCATTGCTCAGGACGTGCAGTATCGCAAGCCCTGTAACATAATAATAAATAATAATAATAACAATAAAAACACTGAACTTGCCTCTCAACTGTTTACAACCTCAAGAGAGTTCAGTCAAAATGGAAAAAAGTTTGACTAGCAAATGTAGTGCCACAATGAACTAATGAACCCTTTAAATGCAATATTGTTTTTTCAGACATTTTATGAGGAAATGATAAAAGGTGGGGTACTGCAACTGAATTCAAGATAAATTACTTCTAAAATTAACAACAACTAAAACAGAATAAAAAGACGTTAGAGAAATGTATAGGGGGAAGATGTCTGTGATTTCTACTAGCAAGGCCAAATGGTACAATAAAAGCATGTGGATCTATTGCATAGTGATGTCATGTATATGTGTTGTTCTGAATCACTCCCCTACCTTCCACACATACACATCTTGTATTTAACTTTACCCCATTACCCCCATAATCCCTGCTTAGTCAATGTGCGTACAAACAAGTGCAAACACTAACGTAACAGCATGCGTGTTCTGGGAGTCCATTTTCATTTACCTCCGTGCCAATTCCCCTTAGCCTCTCCTCTCCTCCACTCACCACCACCATCTTCAGTACCACTTTTATTTGAATGCTTCCTGCCTGTAAGTTATTCCTTTGTCTAGGCTTGGGCTAATAGCAGCGAATGGGATTCAAATAGAGTCAAACTGCCTCCCGAGATCCCCTCAATCCTAGCGTCACCATAAAGAGGGGAGGTCTGGGGCCAGTCTAAATATTTGGTAGTCTTAGCAGGTTCATGTTAAAACACACACACACACACACACACACACGGACTGAATGCACAAGCGGGCTGCGTGGCTGTGAAGTTGAATGGCATAGCTTAAAGCCTTCCTCCCCCCTTATCCATGACTCTCTCCTTCTCTCTCTCTCGCTAAACCACCAAACCATTCTACCCCTCTTTTTTTTTCTAGCTCAGAGGAATTCATTAACTGCCTGTCCGTAGAGACACTATGGAAATCAGGTTAGCTACAAAGGCAGCGAGAGAGGCAGGGTGGATGGTGGAGAGGAGGGCCGCCGCTGCTCAATGGGCCTATATTATCCTATTAGATGGTGGATATGTCTCGTTTCCCTCCCCTGTCATGAGAAAAAAACATTAATTTTAAGTGAGAAGAGAGAGAGAGAGAGAGAGAGAGGGGAGTGAGGAAGAAACAGAGGGAAGGAATGGTGAGGGTCTTTAACATTGGTCTTTTATGGAAGGGTCCCCTGGCGTCGTTTACCTTGGCAATGAGAGAGAAGCGAGCGCTATCCGTGAATGCCATTTAAAATGCCATGGAGATTAAGCATCCTTTCTGCCTTTCTGCGTCTCTCTCTCTCTCTCTCACACACACACACACCAACACACGCACACACGCACAAACACACAAACCTGTTGGTCATGCTTCTTGGGGACAATAAATTGACTTGCATTCATTTTCTGGAGAATGATTTAAACATTGCCTAGCATTAATCACCTATAACTGTTCTCGCACTCGACAATATGGACCATGGATTATGAAGAAAATCAACTAATTGTACAAACACAACAAAGAGAATACTCTTGATCCACTTTCAAATCTTCAGAACTCATTATTGTAGTTTTTCGGTCATTGTCAAAAACTACAAAAAACAAACAAAGGCGATGACAATGAAACTATCGGCCTACATCACTAAATGACTTGCGGTAAGAATTCAGTGTTTGTTTGCATATTTGAGTCCCCACAACGTTAAACTCGTCCACTTGCAAAGGCGATGTGTCATAATGTGTGCGTTTATAAAAGGGGGGAAGAAAACAGCTTTGAGATTCATGAGTAAAGCCCACTAGGTTCCAGCGCACAAGGGAGAGGGGAGAGAGGAGAGAGCCAGCGCTGAGCCAGAGCGGCTTTTAAATGGTGTAATTAAATCATTAGACACACACATACACACACACACACACACACACACACACACACACACACACACACACACAGACGCACACTCCCCTCCTTCTCCCTCCCTCTCTCCTCCGACCCTCTCCATCAGGGGCTTTGCGGTGAAATGATGAATCTGTATTTATGGAAGAGGAGTAATTATATGGCTAACCTCTGAGGAAACCCAAGAGGACCATGGGTGATGGAAGGGGCGCAGGGTGCTCAACCTCATTAGCACTGCACCGCCACCGCCCTGTGTGTGTGTGTGTGCGCGCGTGTGTGTGCGTGTATAGTCAATACTGATTTCATATTTACAGCTGTTGATGGGATCATATCAATCTACATTATGCCCTCTTCAAATTTAATGATGACCTCAAAAAGGCTAATATATTTCGACACCATGGGAGTAGTTGTCATTGAATCTACTTAAGAAAAATAGATAATAAATACAAAAAACTACATAATTACTCATATTGTTTTCTGGAAGGTCTTCTAAAGATGATGAATGTGTGTGAATGACTACATTAATAAACATAATAACAATAATTATTATTATAATAGCAATAGGTTAATAACACTGCATACACACACACACACACACACACATAAAAAGCAAATATTTTTCAACTGTTTTCAAAGATAATTTCTCATGATGATCATGTTATGCTTCTCAATATATTTCAGAGTAATTTTTTGATTGTACTATTTAACTTAAACATAATTATATACATACTCATTTTACTAATTGATGGATTGTTTGGAGAGACTAACAAGGGGAGTTCTGGGCTGCTGATCTACATCTGACATATTGTATAATGGTGAGATCGCTTTTCATCACAGCTGTTGTAATAGGCCTGACACAAATGCGCCACAGTCTAAAACAAACGCGCTCCAATATGTCCATCTCGGAGACTCCAGAGTACAGTAGCCCATTCTTCTCCTCTCGCATCTGTCAGGTTCCACTCCACGGCCCCGCGTGGCTCTCATCTCCGCCACCTCTTATCCTCGTCAATCTCTGTCATTACCTGCAGCCTCCAAACCTGCATCACTGATTCCGCCGATAATCACAGGCTCTCCTCTGGGTCAGACGGAGGATCGATGCCCCCGGCCCATCTGCTGGCCACACGCTCACTTTAGCTGGACCTATAAACACACGTTATAGCAGTGCATTTGGTGCGTGTGCTGTGGCTGAATATAGACCTATACGTGCGGCTACGTCTTACTGCGCAATGAATCATTTATTGGTAATAAATAGCAGTGAGCACAGTGCGCACACTTCACAGGAATCCTTTCTGTGGACACAGTGCACACGTGAGATCACAAACACACGCACGAGCATACACGCGCGCGCACAGTCGACCCGGGCTAACCAATGCACTAATCGCCTGCCCCGGGCATAGGAGGAGCCTGATGCTTAAGTAGGATGCCAATCAGTCAGTCAGCTCCACATCCAGCAGCTCCCGCGGCCAGACGCACCACTGCTCCGCGCACAAGTGGACTCGGGAAACTGACACTTCTGAAAGAACTCCGGTGATTTACATTGTGTCGTTCACTTCGTTTCTTGGGAATTGCTACTTTGTGACTTTGCCTTTTGGAAACGCATTGGTTTCGGGAATGTCTTTCCCTCAACTGGGATACCCCCAGTTCCTCGGTGCCTCCTCTCACGAGATGTACGCGGGCGAGCGCCCAGGCTCTGCCCGGGACGGTGGCGCAGACAGCGGGGTGAGCTCGCCCACCAGCACGGTGGCTGCAGCTGCCGCGGTGGGCTCTATGCTGGGGATGTACGCCAGTCCTTGGGCGACTCATAATTACAGTGCCTTTCTTCCGTACAGCGGCAGCGCGGACCTCGCTCTGCTCTCACAGATGGTGAGTTTACTCAGTGATGGGGCAGGTGTGACAGCAAACAAGAGCCGCTCACACAACACTCCTTCAGCGGCACAGCGGGAACAGCAAGCTCATTTAAAATGGCTGTATTCTTTTTGTCAGTTGAGTCCATAATGTTAAACGCATGGGCCTTTTTGAGCTAATTCAAAATAAAAAGCCTATACATTTAACATTTTAATAGCGGCAACATTGTTTCCATGTCAGGATTTCATGGAAACATTTCCAGAATCAGATTATCGCAATTTTAGAGGTTTTAATTACAACAGAGTGTGGCTGTATGGCAAAATTAAATGATTAAATCAAACAACATGTTATGTTACTTGCAATGTTTAAAAATCATTGGCTCAACAAGTTGTGTGTCTCGGTAGGGTTCTCAGTATGACCTCAAGGACAGCCCAGGCGCGCACCCCGCCTCGCTCCCAGTGCACGCGGCTCAGGGCTTCTATCCCTACGGCCAGTACCCGTACGCAGACCCAAACAGAAACAAGACTGCAACAAGAGAGACCACCAGCACTCTGAAGGCCTGGCTCCAGGAGCACCAGAAGAACCCCTACCCCACTAAAGGAGAGAAGATCATGTTAGCCATCATCACCAGGATGACGCTCACGCAGGTCAGTTCACCAAACACATCTCATTCTGGGAGGTTTTGCAGAATTAAACAGACAAATGCCAATATTTAGAATTTCATTTTGGAGTTTTGTGTTTATTAGGATATAGATTTGGAGTAATAATAAGATATAGTGATTTGAATAACACAACAATTTGAAGTGAATATTGGGCTATTCAAAGCACGGACTAATATACTTAACCAACATGTTTTGTCTTCAGGTGTCCACATGGTTTGCAAATGCGCGGCGACGTCTGAAGAAGGAGAACAAGGTGACGTGGGGGCGCAGTGCCGAGGACCGTGACGGACGCATCTTCAGCAGCGACAATGAGGACGAGCCTGGGAAAACAGGCAGTGATGAAGAGGAGGAGATTGACCTGGAGACAGTGGACCTGGAACGACCAGAGGAGCAACCACAGAGGGCAGTGGAGGAGGCGCAGGCGGGAGGCCTGAGCACAGAGGCCTCGGAGAGCATCAGGACTCAGTCTGCCGGGGAAGGCCTCAGGCCCGACAGTCAGGCCGCTCTTTCACACAATAAAGCCGCTGCAGAGCGATCTCCAGGCTCCAACGAGTGCCACAGAGCGCCACAGAACAAACCCAAAATCTGGTCTTTAGCTGAAACAGCCACCACCCCGGACAGCACGCCCAAAGCTCCAGTGCACGCGGCACTTGGCTCCGCGGGACACCCGGCCTTATTGCCTGGACACGGGATTTACACGTGTCAAATTGGAAAGCTGCACAGCTGGGCAAACTCCGCGTTTCTTAACGCCAACTCACTATTGAACATGAGGTCTCTTTTGACCAGCACGTCCGCAGCACACGCGCACCTGCCGCTGCATAGTGCGGTAACGAGTGCGCGCCATGACGCACGGGTGACAGCGCGGGGGCCTGGCACATCTGGCACAGATCTGGATGACAGTGATGTCGAGTCGTCAGGAAGCTTCAGTCCAAAAAGAGATGGTAAGCTATGAAACAAACCACCATCTAACATGTCATTGGGGAAATTGGGGGCCCCTGATGCCACTGAAGGGAGCTGTGGTGCCGCTGGAGCGAGCAGGTCTGGGGTCTGCATATTGATGGCCTTCACTGGATCGTTTTTAGTTGTATAGACTATTGTGCCTTTTGGAGTTGTTGGAGTGCTCAAAGGAAACATACGGTGAACACAGAAACAGATTTGGAAACACGTATTTTTTTAGCCGCTAATATTTAACGCTTCTTTAAATTGCCGTCCGTCCCCCGCTCATGCGTGCTACTGTTTCCTCAGATGAAGAGAGCGACCACAGGCCCGACTCTGTCAAACCCTCGTTTCTGATCACTGACAGGTGAGCTGTGCGTCTGGACATGTTATTTAGGACACACACTCTCTCCTCGGGCCGCTGTTCCAGCTCACTGCGCCACATAAATCATGTGATTGAGCCCCACTTTAACGCTCCATCACTTTCACATTGATTCATCCCAGAGGCCACAAAAGCGCCCCTATCACCTGTGTTATCTCTGCTACATGCTACGGCCCAAATTTAGCTGCAAATAAAGTGAACATTGCTGACATTTAAATAGTGTATTCATCTGAACTCTGCCTTTTTCTTCTTCGCAGACCTCACCATGGAGCACAGAGAGCCCTGACAACGACACTATGAGACGACCACATAAGGAAAAATCATTTTATTTAACAAGAGCAGTTTATGAAGGATATTTTGTGGCAGAAACCCTGTCCTAGAGTATTATTATAATAATGATTATTATTATTATTATTATTATTATCATTGACTGAATATATTTCAACAAGTTGTTTTGTCAGATTTGACTGTGTTCCCTTTGTTTGTCTTCTGTTGTATTTTGTTTTTCCTTTTTATTGTGATTGGAATATTTGAGAATTGTAAATAATGGGATATGAATTTGTCTTTAAAGATTATATTTTTTGGACACTAAATAAATGTCATTATTATTAGTCACCTATTTCAGGATGGGTTTTTATTGGAGAAACTGATTGAAATATTGTGTATAATTGTAAAGACATGTAACTCGTTCTTAGAATGAGACTAAACCAAACATATCCATCCACATTTTCCAAAAGGACGTGGCATTTTAAAATTGCAAATATTTGTTAAATAATATGTGTGCAAAAACAGAAGGTGTGATCAAATTTACTCGCACGGCTTTGGCCTCTATTTTGGGTGAGTACAAATCTAAAAGATTTATCTTGCTTTGGAATCATTCAGTATAATTTCTAAAGGCGTGGAAAGATTGGACGAGCTTTTCCAATCTATATATAAATTGCATTTGTCACATAATGATGACACCAGCATTTTGTCTGAGTTTGTCTTACAGCATAAGATGGTCCCCCTCTGTGACCCTTGCATCTTTATGTCACGTCTCCTTATTCCTTTGCCAGCTAACTCACAGTGTCAGCCCTCTCTTGAAGGAAGCTATTGAAATCCAACACTCTCTGGCCAAAAACCCTGCGACTTATGCCAACGCCTTGGAAGCCACTTGCAAACGCTGGAGGAAATTGAAGCTGAAGATTTCCAGGACCTTGTGAATGTGCGCCTGTGCTAGAAGCCAGGCCCTGGGTGCTTTAATGTTGGATTATACCCCCTCTGTGCACCGCTGCCTCCTCTGAAATATGGATCAGACGGCAGGAAAAGGCCAGCTGCCCGCATGGGGCAGGCCTGCATGGGACAGGCACAGTGTCACACCAGCACCGCTCCACAGCAGAAGGCAGGGGTCCGAGAGCCCGAACAGAGGGGGATACTATAGGACAGGGACTGAGCTGATAATGCCAAGTATTTCTCTGAGTCCGTTTAACAGCATGTGGTCAGCACTTATAGGAGCATGAGGAGCACTTGCTCATTAAAGAACATCTCAGTATTTTAATGTAGACTTATTTGAATTGATGTAAACTTTTCTGATAGATTCACATTTCAAGCAACATTCATATTTTTGATTTCCTAATTATAGAATTTGTTTACTTCAATGCAATGCTTCGGCTTTGTATTGTACAAAATAAAATAATCTCCACAAAGTTTAGCTTTAAAAGTTCTAGATCCATTGATTGTCTATTCCAGTGTCTCCCAAAGTGGGGTCCGCGGCCCCCTGGTGGGCCGCGAGGGTACTGCAGGGGGGCCGCGGGAGGTCATAAAAAAAAAAAATATAATTATTTAATGTCAAATTTATGTTTTGTTTGTAATATTAAAATATTTGTGTTCATTATTTGACTTGAATAATCCACTGTAATCATTTTTGTATTACAATGTTTGTAGCAGAGGCTATTTCCCCAAAATAAAATAACCAGAAGAGCCTATTCTTAATGTTGTCTTCTTGGTTATTATTTTGGGGGGCCACGCAGACCCGTCAGATTTTTAAGGGGGCCTCGGTGTTACTGAGTTTGGGAATGGCTGGTCTATTCTATTCAACATTATTTGTCAAATCTGCTGAAATTAAGAAACGGTTAGAAAGCCAATGCTATCAAAAGTCCACTATAGTTACCGTAGTTACTATGTGTTGAATACATATATTTTTAAAGATAAAGAAACAGCGACCGCCAAAAGGGACTCGCAAAGTAACAAAAAAGCCATACCATTCCATATAATAGTCATAATCATTAAAACAATCCTTTCTCTATCCACTCGGTGCTGTGAGATGATGCAACGAGACTGGAGCAGTAGTGGAGTGGCTCCAGGCACTTGAGGCCCTTATTACTTCCCATGCCAACTGTGACAGACTGCCTCCACACTGCTGTCCCATACACACTGCCCAGCCTTCAAAATACCCAACAATATGTTATTCTTTCAAACTTGGAAATCAGCGAGCTTAGCGTGATAGGGCTGAAATCACATCAATGGCTCGTTTCATCCCCTGCGCTGCCTCCACAACATGCTCGGATATAAAAGGTGGTGAGCAGACTTTGGATGAGTATTCTTTGGCGACTGAGACTTGAAAGTTTCACCAAGTTTGGGTGTTTTTTTCTTGCACCAAAACTTTGTCGACCAGAAATAGAACAAGCTACAGTATGTGGGAGGAAAGACTTTATCTACATCACAAAATATTTTCGTTATCTGTCGTTCATGGGAGATTAAAACTTTAACTTTTGATGCGTTTTGAGCTCTTGTTTTTTTAGTTCTGCACAAAACCTTTTGGCATGTCACTAGTATATTCACACGCATGCTATTTTTTCGGCCTCGAGCACAGCTGTTTTTGCATCTGTTCAAATGTAAGTTGAAGGTTGATACCATTATAGGATGTTGTTTTTTTGGCCTTTTTCTGCAGGACTCGAATCAAATCAATGTTGCACTGCCAAAATCCCAACAGTCTTCTCAAATCACTTCACATAATTGTTGATTTACCAACAGCAGGGTAGAAAATAAAATTATAATAGAAAAAAAACAAAAAACAATAATAAAACACATAAGTGTGGTTCATAACTGGTGAAGCAATGTCCATAACTGTCCTTATAACCATTTTATAAAATCATAACATAAAAAGTCCTGCATCAATATTTAAGTTTAGAAAATGCCGTGGCGACAACACAAAAAACGTTTAGTCTAAAAATGTGGTGTGTTAAATAATGTTTGCAAGTGTTGTTTCTTTCTTAATAATTGGTTATGACAAAAGTTTTGCATTTTCAGTATTTTCAGGTCACTTCAAAATGATACAATTTGATGTTTTTCTTAAAAACATAATTTAACGTCAAGTGTGATTTTTGTCAGTTTTTGATTCAGTGCACAGGAAATACCACCACAGGTTGAGAATCCCAGTAGTCCTCCAACTTTTCAAATCAAGTACCATCTACCAAACCATTTTGCCTCCCAAGTACCACATATGTACAGTAGGTGGCCTTCTATTTGCCAGGTCTAGGACAGTTCCTCCATGGGTAAAAATCAGGTCTTAAACAGTGTATTTAACAGCATTGCCGTTAAATAGGAAGTGAGAATAACCCCAAATGTTACTTTTAAAATGACTTGCATACATGTCATCGGAAGGATCCCTAAAAGTCTGCAATCAACAGCTGCATATTAGACTTTCATCTCACTCGACTCAATGGCACATTTTCCTCAAACGTAATGAAGACGCCAAGAACAAAAGTGTGAGTGACAAACAGGGATTATTCTGGTAGTTGTTTCTTTAACTTCAGAATGGCTTCGGTTCATTGGTGAGCCCCTCCGACTCTCAGTATGAATGGCGTCTTCATTGGTGCTTTAGTATTCTGTTATGGGCCCTTTGCTTCGACCAATCCCTATTAAAGACACAGATTACGGAGGGGATTTGTCTTTGATTCCACTGCTCTTTTCTGGTCCACACAGTATATAAGGTACGTGCTCTACCCTCTCCTGCACCCTTGGCTTGTCGGGTTCATGGACAATGATAGACACCATGCCATCCCCCATGCTCACCCTTTTGCCCTTGTGAAACTCGCGAAAGCAATGACGTTTGAATAGATTTGTTTAAGGTGGCAGAGCGCGTTCTCCGGGCGTATAGTCTGGTGGTCTCGTGCGCTGTTTGGGGTCCTGTGTGTGGGGGTGAAGTCTCTCACAGATAATCAGGCTTATGTAAAGACGATGTGCTCTTTTGACAGTCATCAGCTCATCAGTGATCCAATCAAGGGTCCAAATCTGCCATTGTGCCATCCTCAAAGTTTCTCAAATCCCCTTGCGCAGGCAAAAGGGGCCTATTCGCTCTTTATGCTGCCAATCACTCCTGACATTCCTCCCAGTGTTGCCATGGCCCTGGGTCAGAGGTCCTGAAAACATAGAACATGAGCTGACTCGATGAAGAATGGTGAAGAGCTCCCAAAGAGACTCTCGACGCAACTGGCCCATTGGCGAGCGAAGGCAGGGGGTAAATGCGGACAAGTTAGGGGTGCGTGGTCCTGCTGAGAGGGCGACGGGCCGGAGACAGAGACGGGGCAAGAGAAGAAATTGACGGAGGAGAGGGTGAACTGGTAAAAAAGGAGATGTGTGTGGATAAATAGACGAAGGGAGCAACAGTGTTTGATTTCCAAATAAGCTTATGTGGAGCTTGACCTCCAGGGATCAGCACAAAATGGCTCCGCAGTGAGATAATGAGACACAAAGTTGTTATTTTTATATGAGGGATAATAACAATAATAGGTGCTAACTTTTCTCTGGAACTTTACAAAGCTGTCCCTGTCATTTGACCACTAATGACAAGTTAGTGAAGGCATATTGGGGGTGAAAGGGAAAATAGATCAGAGATTGTTCAAATAAATAGACTCTTTCTCTTGAAAAAGGAATACAGAAGTTTGATCACTGACAACAAAGCATGTTTGATATTAGTAGTCTGTTGTTATTAGAGATGAGCAAGCAGATGTGTTGTTGGTTCATAAATTACATTATTCAAAAGCCCCATACATGGTCTGATACTCAGCAATTTATTGACTCAAAATTGTTGATGGCATTGTTAATGTATCTATTTTTAAACCTGAAAAGTTCTGCTGATTCTCAGAGCCATAACATTATAATTGCAGCACTTTCCAATTTAAACCAGAAAAATGCCTTGTAAAAGAGATATTTGTGAATGAATTAATTAGGAGATTGTGTTTTTTGAGATGATAAACAAAAACATATTTTTCCGCCTATTCACACATAACAATAGTTACAGCACCACACTTGTAACTAGC